CCGACTCTTCGTGACCCCATGGCCCAGAGCATGCCAGGCCCTCCTATCTTCCACTGCCTCCCAGAGTTGTGTCAAATTCATGTTGGTTGCTTCACAGACACTGTCCAGCCATCTCATCCTCGGTCGTCCCCTTCTCCTCTTGCCGTCGCACTTTCCTAACATCAAGGTCTTTTCCAAGGAGTCTTCTCTTCTCATGAGATGGCCAAAGTACTGGAGCCTCAGCTTCAGGATCTGTCCTTCCAGTGAGCACTCAGGGTTGATTTCCTTTAGAATTGATAGGTTTGTTCTTGCAGTCCAGGGGATTCTCAAGAACCTCCTCCAGTACCACAATTCAAAGGCATCAATTCTTTGGCGGTCTGCTTTCTTTATGGTCCGGGTCTCACTTCCATACATCACAACAGAAAAAACCATAGCTTTGACTATTCGGACTTTTGTTGGCAAGGTGATATCTCTGCTTTTTAAGATGCTGTCAAGGTTTGTCATCGCTTTCCTCCCAAGAAGCAGGCGTCTTTTAATTTCGTGGCTGCTGTCTCCATCTGCAGTGATCATGGAGCCCATGATCACTGCATGGAGCCCATGCAGTACTGAAGTTCAAACCCTGTGCCATTGGGTTTCTTTTTGGGTTTAGGTTTCTCTGAAGACTGAATAAGTTTATCGAAAAAAGACAGTAATGACAAAGCATACCAAGCAGATAGCAAACAATGATCTTCAGCAATACCCATTACTTCTCCTTTAATCATCACGAGAAGGAAAAACATTGTTTTCTGTGTGCTGTGAGTTACTCTCTTCTCCCTCTGTAATTCTAAGTAACTGAGAGGTTGGATTTGAGGTTAGGGTTTTCGGGTGCTCTTCTTGTACTTCCTGAACCTGCTGAGAAATCCACTTTCTGCTCAAAATGGAACCGAGCTTTTGACCATCAGAATACGTGCCTGAGGGCTTCTTACCAACACAGTTCACCCAAATATTCACGAGATGTTTTTCATCCCATTATTTTATTCCAGCAGGGACAGGACATTTGCCTTAAAGGCGGAAAGCCACAAATCTCTTGGAAACTCACTTCATAGAAGTTTCTTTCTTTTTCTTTCTTTCTTTCTTTCTTTTTTTTTACAAAAAAGGTACATGTCAAGTAGTTAAGAAAGGAAGGATTTGGTGCCTTACAAAGTGACGGTGGGGGGTGACAGGGTCTTTAACGCAGAACACTGTTCAAGAAGTCACAACCTGCCCATTGGCATTTGCTGTTGGAAGGGTGTGATCCTGCCCACCACAAGCATGAATACATGGTCCAGCCTCTTCCCCTCAGGCAGAAGAAAATACAAATTAGCAGACTTAGTGGTAAACCAGTAGGGTAATTTCATGCTCTGAACAGGCATTCCTCACAATTCCTCCATCCTCTCTCTGTAACAGTGGCATGAGAAGCTCTGGGCACCAAAAGTAGTAGTTCCACCACTGGTACCTTACCGCAAAATACCATATTGCCCTCGCCTTAAGTCCAGGAGCTTTCAGGTCATGCACTTCTCTATATTCTCTTGACTGGATGGTCTAACGGTACATAACATGTGAATTGTGAGCCAAACATTTCCCATAATCCAGGAATATCTACAATTTCTCTCTTGTGTGGACTCTAGCCACAAATCTCTTGGAAACTCACTTCAGAGAAGTTTCTTTTCTTTTCTTTTTTTTTTTTTACAAAAATGTACATGTCAAGTAGTTAAAAAATGAAGGCTTTGGTGCCTTACAAAATGATGGTAGGGTGGGGTGACAGGGGCTTTAACACAGGACAGTGTTCAAGAAGTCACAACCTGCCCATTGGCATTTGCTGTTGGAAGGGTGTGATCCTGCCCACCACAAGCATGAATACATGGTCCAGCCTCTTCCCCTCAGGCAGAAGAAAATACAAATTAGCAGACTTAGTGGTAAACCAGTAGGGTCATTTCATGCTCTGAACAGGCATTCCTCCCAATTCCTCCATCCTCTCTCTGTAACAGTGGCATGAGAAGCTCTGGGCACCAAAAGTAGTAGTTCCACCACTGGTACCTTACCGCAAAATACCATATTGCCCTCGCCTTAAGTCCAGGAGCTTTCAGGTCATGCACTTCTCTATATTCTCTTGACTGGATGGTCTAACGGTACATAACATGTGAATTGTGAGCCAAACATTTCCCATAATCCAGGAATATCTACAATTTCTCTCTTGTGTGGACTCTCTTTTGCTTTAAAAACTGTGAATTATTGGCAAAACATCTTCCACCCTCATGGCATTTCTATGGTTTCTCCCCTCTGTTGACTGTCTTATGCTTAAAAAACTGATTTGTGAGCCAAAAAATTTCTCCACTCCTGGCCTTTCTTTGGTTTCTCTCCTGTGTGGACTCTCGTATGACTTACAGTGTATGAATTCTCAGCCAAACATTTCTCACATGTGACATTTTTATGGTTTCCCTCTCGTGTACACTTTCTTATGACTCACAAGCTGTGAACTGCAAGTACTGTAAATAATTTCCTATATTCTCCTGTGTGGACCCTCCAATACACAGTAAGTGTTGAATTCTGAACATTTCCCACACGTCTCAGGAAAAACATTCCCACACTCCTGACATTTGTATGTTTTTTCTCATGTGTGGACTCCTATCATGCCTCAGATGCTGTTAATTTCGAGCAAAATGTTTTTTACTCTCCTGGCGCTTGTGTTTTTTCTTCTGTGTGAACTCTTATTATATCCCAGAAGCTGTGAATTTAGAGCAAAACATTTCCCAAACTCCTGGTATTTATATGGCTTCTCTCTGAGATTGAATTCAAGCACAAGGTTTGAATTCTGAGAAAAGCATTGGAGGCGGGACAGTGTTCATTATTGGCTCCAATGGAGGGCGACCAGGACAGTTCTGCAAGCCAAACAAGAGAAAGGCCACAGGGCTCAGAAGGGAGAATTGGGGGGCATCAAGTCTGCCCGTCCAGCTTCTACTAATTGAAGTACTGTATTCAGCTCTGTTCTTAATGCTTCAGATTGTCGATTCCCACACTGAAGGGCAGTAATCCTGTAAATATGAACTTAACACATTCCTCCAGCCCATATAACACTTCAAATGTTTTCTACTCATTAAATTCTTCAAACTCATCAAAGTTTTCTTCTGAAAACATTTATAAGCATTTCAAAGAACTCAAAGGGGGAGGTGGGGAAATAGATGGACAGCCACAGTTTCCCTCTCCCTCTTCTTTTAGTCACCAGGAGATCCCTTTTCTCCCTGGCTTTCCTGTCCAGAAATGGCTCTCCTTTTTCCTCCCTTTCTTCTTCTCCTTCCTGGGTTTTCCTTTCCCAGCAAAATCCAGATCAGATAATATTCACCCATCTGCCTTTTCTCCTTCTGTCTCTCTCCGCCACAAATAAGGCCTTAGCTCTTGCAGAAAATGTATGCACCTCCTTCTGGGTGGCCACCAGGAGGAGCCTTGACTGGGATGATCTTGTGGGTCAGACAATGACAATTTGCTTTGTAAAAATGCAGTGCCACTTCCATGTGGTTCAAAAAAATTTTAAAGCAGTTTTTGAAAAGAGAAGCAAACTTTTCTGTCAGTTCTTTAGATTTCTGTCAGCTCTTTGGATTTTTTCCCGTCTGTCAAAGAGTAGCAGAAGGTGGGAATGTGGGGCAGAGGACAGGAATATTCCTGTCATGTTCCAGATGAGGAGATGTGTGGAGGTAGGGATAGGTGACTTTCTCTTGGCAGGGGGGCAGAAACAGTCATTTGCAAATCTGACAGGATGTCCCTGTGGCATTCACCCTTATTATGTTGAATAGGTTATGCATTATTCATATTCTATGTTGATATGATTGAGAGGTGGGGCCACCAGAGATGTTAAAAAGGTGGAGCCTGAGAGAAGGGAGAGTAGAGTTGAGTCAGAGTGAGTGAGTGAGAGAGAGAGAGAGAGAGAAGGTGTGATTAGTCTGAGGAGTGAATAGTATCCTGTGAGATTTAAATACTGTAGAAGATAGATGCTTGATGAACCTGAAGCAACTACTTATTAATTATTTAAAAATCTGTAATTAATAAACCTGTTTTAAGAAAAAGTGAAAACTGAATGGATCTTCGTCTTTCCTAAGTAAAGTACGTTGATTTAGTGATCAACTGGTGGCAGCGTGTGAAAAGGTGTTTGGTTTGCCTTCATGCGCTCTGTGTTTGGAAGAGAAACAGGGGCCATGAGAGGCAAACGTCACAGTCTCACTTCCACTTTCCTAGGATTGACCCATTGCCCCCCCCAAGCAGTCTGGGCACTCAATTTATCAGCCTTGGAAGGATGGAAAGATGAATGAACCTCCAGTCAGCCAGCTGGGATTGAACCCAGTTTATGAGAATTTTGACAGCACTCCTGCAGTTTAAGCACTGTACCAAAAGGCTTATTTGGGGTTCATATTTCTCTGAAGCTCGAATAGATTCATCAAACAGGATACTAATGCCAAAGCATTAAAAGCAGAAGTCAAATATTGTAATCATCAGTAACAACTAATTAGCCTTCATGCCCCAGGAGAACGAAAAACTTGAGTCCAAGTGTGCTGTGAATTACTTTATGCTCCCATGTAGTTCTAATGAACTGAGAGGTTGTGACTGAGGTTATGGTTTCAGACACTCTTCTTGTACATCCTGAATCTGCTTAGAATTCTACTTTCCCCCCAGAAAGGGCCTCACCTTCTGGAAATGACAATACATATCTCAGATTTCTCAGCCACACAGATCAACAAAAGATTGACAAGGAATATTTTTCATCCCTATATTTTATACCCACATGAACAGAACAATGCCCTAATGGCAGAAGCCATATATATTTTTGATCCATCACCCCGCAGACATTTCTCTATTTAAAAAAATGGTACAAGGAAAGTAGCTGAGAAAGGAATTATCTGGTGCATTCTTATTCTTCCTGTTCTCTATCGTGACTTAGGGTAAGAGTTCAGAAGATGCCTGAGAGCAGTTGTTCTCAAACTGGGGTCCCCAGAAGCCTTCACCACTTGCTGTGCTGGCCAGGATTTCGGGGGAGTTGCAGTCCAAGAACATCTGGGGACCCAAGTTTGAATACCATTGCCTTAGAGAATGCAGGTATGGTGCAGCTACTCATGCTTTGATTCAGGATGCTGTTTGAGATGTCTCAATGTGCCCATTGGTACTTACTGCTAAAAAAGGTGTGAACCCATCCCAAGCATGGATATTGTGTCCAGCCTCTGATATAAAATATCAGACGCAGTAGGAAACCAATGCAGTCATTTAATGCTCTGAATCACAACTTCCTGGCAATTCCTCTCTCCTCTCTGTGTAACAATGCCATGTGAAGCTCTGGATACCAAAATTACTAGTTAAACTTCTTGTGCCTCACCATAAAGCACTATAGTGCCCTCCACTCATCTCGCTTGGTCCAGAACCTACCATGTCATCAATGTCTCCATTTTTCCCTGTGTGGACTCTCTGATAGTCCATAATATGTGAATTCTGATCAGAATAATTCCCAAACTTCTGGCCGTTGTACACCTTCTCCCCTTTTTGGACTGTCTTATGATTCAAAAGGTGTGAACACTGAGCAAAATGTTTTCCACACTCCTGGCATGTGTATGTATTCTCTCCCGTATGGAATCTCTTATGATTCAAAAGGTCTGAATTTCGAGCAAAGTGTTTTCCACACTCCTGGCATGTGTATGGTTTTTCTCCTGTGTGGAGTCTCTTATGCCTCACAAGACTTGAATTCTCAGCAAAATATTTCCCACATTCCTCGCATCTGTATGGTTTTTCTCCTGTGTGGACTCGCTTATGCTTCACAAGGCTTGAGTTCTCAGCAAAATGTTTCCCACACTCCTGGCATTTGTATGGTTTTTCTCCTGTGTGGACTCTCTTATGCTTAACAAGCTGTGAACGGTGAGCAAAACATTTATCACACTCCTGGCATTTATACGGTTTTTCTCCTGTGTGGACTCTCTTATGACTCATGAGGGTTGAATTATCAGCAAAACATTTCCCACACTCCTGGCATTTGAACGGTTTCTCTCCTGTATGGACTCTCTTATGCTTCACAAGGCTTGTTTTCTGAGCAAAACATTTTCCACACTCCTGACATTTGTACGGTCTCTCTCCTGTGTGGACCCTCTTATGTCGCACAAGCTGTGAACGCCCAGTGATACATTTCCCACAATCCTCACATTTGTATGGTTTCTCTCCTGTGTGGACTCTCCTATGACTCACAAGGTTTGAGTTTCGAGCAAAACACTTTCCACATTCCTCGCATTTGTACGGTTTCTCTCCTGTGTGGACTCTTTTATGACTCATAAGTGTTGAATTAACAGTAAAGCATTTCCCACATTCCTGACATTTATATGGTTTCTCTCCTGTGTGGACTCTCTTATGCCTCAGAAATGTTGAGTTTTCAGCAAAACATTTTCCACACTCCTGGCATTTGTATGGCTTTTCTCTTATATGAACTCTTTCGTGATTCACAAAGTGTTTCTTCCGATTAAAATATTTCCCAGATTTTCCAGACACTTCACTTACAAAGCACTTCTGTCCAGTGTGGATTCTTCTGTGAGGCATCAGATCTATATTCATGCCAAAATGATTTTCAGAAACAATGCATTTGTAGAGATTCTCTGGAATGCAATTTTCCTCTTCTGTATTTATTCTCTGGTATCCCTTAACCTCAAAATGGTGCGCAAAACTCTTTCCAGATTTGGAATATGCATTTTTCTCCCTCCAGTTATCTCTGATGAAGGAGAAAGGTAGAAAAGACAAAACTGAAGAATCGGACATATCTATGGGGAAAAAGAGAAAGATTTCTTAAGAGTGGTTTTGAATGCATGGAAGATAACACAGAAATAAATCGGTTAAGCTTTTAAGTGCCACAACATTTTGTCCTTCTTCTCTTTTTTCCTCTTAAATTTTGCAATCACATTTATTGACATACTTTTGGGTTCATCTCGGCTCCCGGTTTGTTCCCCATCAACAGATACTTTAGACACTTGTTCCTTTAACTATCAAGTTTTATTTCCAAACCAATCAACATAGTACAGTGGTGCCTCGACTTATGACTGTCCCTACTTAGAACCATTTCAAGTTACGACCAGCTTTAGCCGCAAAATTTTGCTTTGACTTGCAGCCGGAGCTTATAGTTACAAACACAAAAAGACAGGGGGGAAAGGCGGGAAATTCAAATTTCTAACTGTAGGTGGCGAAGAGGCTGCTTCTTCGTAGCTTTTTCGCCCCAGCAGTTAGAGAGTGTGCGATTGGAGGAGACTGCCTGGTAAGGTAAGGTGCTGCTTTCTGCTTTTTAAAAAATGGTACTTTGACTTACGACCATTTCGAGTTACGTCCATCTTCTGGAACAGATTATGGTCATAAATTGAGGCACCACTGTATTAACAATATCTAAAAACATGGTACCACCTTTTCCTTCAATGAAGAAGAATAATTTGTTGAAACTTCCAATTTCTCCAAGTCTCGAGGTTGCTCTTTCTCTCCATTTAGTATCTCACAGGCATCCCTTGGCAAAGGAAGATGCAACAGGGGAATCGTGTCACTTTCCACAACTCTCTCTTTTTTGTGTGGTCTCTGGGGAGGCAGTTCTCCACCATCTTGTGGGTGAAAGCTCTTGCTGTGGTGTGGGTTTCTCGATTCTGACCTTTCTCTCTTTTCTCCCTCAATATGGCCTCTTTCCTCTCTGACCTTTTTCCTCCACTCTCTTCTCTCTTCTGGCTGGTCGATAATTCCTCCTCTTTAGGTAAAATTGGTTTTTCTCCTTTATGAGTCTATACGGCATCTTTCCTCTCTGATCTTTTTACTCCAGATGGTGAAGACCAGAAGGGATTGTGAAGAGCTCCAGAAGTATCTCTCTAAACTGGGAAAATGGGCAGGAAAATGGCAAATGTGTTTCAGTCTGTGGAACTCCTTGCCACAGGATGTGGTGATGGCATGTGGCCTAGATGCCTTGAAAAGTGGACTGGACAGGTTCCTCGAGGAAACGTCCATCGCAGGTTAGAAGCCATGATTGGGATGTATAATCTCCAGGATTAAAAGGTATTTCAAAATGGCAGATGCAGGGGAGAGGTATCGGGAGACGGGTATCTAGTTGTGTGCTCCCAGAGGCATCTGGTGGGGCCTGAGTAAGATCCAGGGAGCTGGACTAGATGGGCCTTTGGCCTGATCCAGCACGGCTCTTCTTATGTTCTTATGTATTCCACTCTCAACTCTCCTGTTAACCTCTGGGTAGTTGATAATTCCTCCTTTTTTGCCTCCTCTTTAGGTAAAATTGGTTTCTGCCCATTATAAATCTATGGGTTCTCCATCCATAGCCATTTCCATAGTAAAATCCAGGGAGCTGGACTTGATGGGCCTTTGGCCTGATCCAGCACGGCTCTTCTTATGTTCTTATGTATTCCACTCTCAACTCTCCTGTTAACCTCTGGGTAGTTGATAATTCCTCCTTTTTTGCCTCCTCTTTAGGTAAAATTGGTTTCTGCCCATTATAAATCTATGGGTTCTCCATCCATAGCCATTTCCATCCTTCAGCTATTACTTCCCTTTCTTTCTTCATTTCCACTGTACCAGCTTCAACTTTTTTTATTCCTTCACTCCTTCAACCGCTTTATCCACTTTTCTTCCATATTTATACCTTCTTCTCTTTCTTCTTTCCCTTCCCTTCCTTTCCCTCTTCCCATTTCCCCGCCTTCTTTTGTCTCAGTCCCCTCTCTTGTCCAACTGAGGGCTTCTCTTTCTTCCCATTTTCCTGCCTTCTTTTGTCTCCCTCCCCTCTCTTGTCCAACTGAGGGCTTCTGTTTTCCCTCCTTTTCTCTCTCAATTGCTCTAAAGGTTTCATCTCAATCTCCTTTTGAGGATAAAGGGGATGGCACTTGGGCAGAAGGCATTGCTTTCTGCTCTTCCTCTCACAACATATATAAGAAAACAAACAAAACAAACAAAAACTCCATATTTTTCTTCATGGGCACTTGATACCCATTCTTCCTCAGTCTAGGTTTTTTTTCCAAGACATTTCTCTTCAGGCAGACTTTTCGTTAGTGATTGGCTGTCTGAGGGTTTTTTTTAATAGAGGGTTGTGCCTTTTTACTTTAGAGCTGTTTTTGGTTTTGATTTTGTTTACCATTTTTACTATAGTTTTGGTTTGATACTCTTTAATATCTCATATGCATACTGTTTTTAGCTTTTAAATATTGCATTTTTAGTGATATAAGCCTCCTTGGATGCGTTTGAAGGAGCTTGGCAGGGTAAGAACTAAAAAAAAAAAGACCAGGCTCTCTTTATATACACAGTTTTGAATGTCGATGTTTCTGGTCTCTGTAGTTCTGAGATGTTTCCCAGACAACAAGGTGGGGAAGGGGAAAAACTACACAGCATTCTCAGTTCACAATCTTTTATATATCCTTTTAGCTGGACAAGGGGTGTTTCTGCCTCAGCCTGTATCGATTAAGTTCAATTAAGGACAACAAATTACAAATCAGATCATATGATTGAAACAGCTCTCTCATCTTAAATCAATACACGTTCAGAAGGTTTTTTTTAAAAAAAGAAGCCTTTAAAATAATAATAAAAAGGGAATAGAGAAGTAGATCACATCCCCAAAGGCCCTTGTCATTGGTCATTGTCTTAATCACTGAGTCATCAGTATATGTAGCTTAACTAACGAAACCCCCCACAATGAAGCTGTCAGGCCCCCAAACCCCCCCTTCCCACTCAAAGCTGCACCTCTCATGAATCTTCAGCTTTTCAAATGTTGAGGAACGACTCTTCTCACCACGATTCCTCATCTTTCAAAGTGGACTCTGGTGAGGAGAGCTGGAGCTGATTCTATAGGGTCACAAATCGCCCAGTCTGGCATTAAAGACCCAACAGTGGCTAGCATGAGTACGACACCATTTTGACGCAGAACTGTAACTATTGTTCTTATTGGCTTTATTGCCTTGGTGAAGAGAGATTAGCATCAGCTGGAGAAAGGAGGGGCCTTACCGAGAGAGGATATCATTTGCTGGTTTTCCTCCATGATTTCCTGGTGGAGGGCCCTCTGGTCAGGATCCAGCAGCGCCCACTCCTCCTGGCTGAAGGATACGGCCACCTCCTCAAAGGGCACTGGACCCTAAAGGAAAAATAAATCTGGGCTTCCACATAGGTTTCATAAATTCAAAACAAGATTAAAGAGAAGTGGCTGGATCTTACATTGTAGGTTTTAAATTTTCAGAACCCTCCGAATCCCAGTTGCTAAGGATCAATAGGGGGAGGGAAAGGGCAACTGGTGGCCTACTGGCCTGCCTCTGGAGCTTCCCTGAGGCATCTGGGGAGAAATGGGATACCAGACTTAACCAGTCATTGCTCTGATCCAGCACGGCTACTCTTACACTCTTTGTAACCCCCCCAAGAAAATGGAGTAAGAAATACATTCAGAATGAGAAAAGAGGGAGAGAAAAGTGATTCCAGCTCTCCCCACATTCAGTTTTGGAAAACCTCAAACAACTCTTGGCCCATTCTTCAAAACAAAATTTTCCCCACATGGAGGGAGCCATCTATAATGATTGACAATGTGGGCCATATCATTAAAAAAAAAGCATGGCCATCTTCAATGAGGAGTAAAATGGTTAAATACTCCAGGATTCAAATCCACTTGGTGTGTCAACTGCCTTCTCCGTACCTGATCTGGTTTCGCTGCATCACAAGGAAGAGTTGAAAAAATGCTTCTCGCTGGCATCCTTCCAGCCTCTGCAGGAGAAACCAAGGGGGTGGGAAGCCAGTTGCATAAGCTTTTCCCACAATGAGATCATGAACCTAGAAAAGCAAGCTAAAAACTAAACCCTTGAGCACAATAGGATCCATATCCCAGTAAAAGGCACTAATTCCCATATGATAAATAGTGCTCCTTCATTAAAGTGTGAGAAAATGAAATTCTTGTGCCAATGCCAGAAGTAAAAATTACTCTCCAACATGCAGAAATTTCTCCTGCATAGAGAATAATATATTTTTTATTTACTTCAGAGTGTTCAAAGGAGCCTGAAGACCACCCACAGAGAAACACACAGCACATCCAACATATTAAATTCCACAATTTTTCTTTAAGAAACAGAAACAGTGGTCAAATAAGACCAGATAGGCGGGATAGAAATGAAATAAATAAATAAATAATGAAGTTTTCACCTTCTTTAACTTCACACTGTACAAAATGAATAGAGAATCTGGTGGGCCATTCCTTGTTTTTCTCTGCCTGCTTCAAAGTCCCTGCCTTTATGTGGGATCAATGCTTCTTCTGGATATAACCCTGCCCCTCTCTGGCTCATGATTCCTACGTTTCTGTTAATATTTAAGCTAAATTATTCAATTGGTGGAGTTGTTTGTGTGTTTTTTTTTAATTTGAGTTTTTTCAAATCTTCCCTTCACATTTTGTCACAAAAGGGAAAGGGATTTTTTTGCATTTATTTTTCTTTTCAAATTACAGATTTTTTTTCTGTAAAATGTGCTGGAGGACGGCAAGGGAGACTTGGGGAAGCATAGCAAGCATTAATAGGGGAGTGTGATACCAAAGCATTTTAGATACCAAAGCATCCACTGGGTTAGTCTCTGGGACAGGGACTCCAATGATCTCATTGTGGTCCCCAGTGAGTCATGACATTGACAATCATTGAAGCATACAAGGAAACAAATTTGCATCAGGTTCTCTCCTGAATTTGTACTTTGGAGATTTTCTGTTTCAGATGAGATCAAATGAATGCTTTCGCATTTGCTCTCATGGACAGAAACGGAGGAGCTGACTGCTCTGTAAAAAGTCTTGGAAAACTAAAATTCAAAACACATACAGAAAGAACAAAAGAATAGTGTTTCCCCACCCCCGTTTCCCAGAAAAAGAGACACAGGTGGAGGAATATGCAGATCCTCCTTTTACAGTGGGGTCTTGACTTAAGAACGGCTTGAGTTAAGAACATTTTGACTTAAGAACCAGAAAGAATAGTGTTCCCCCACCCCCTTTTCCCGAAAAAGAGACACAGGTGGAGGAAAACGCAGATCCTCCTTTTATCTTCCACAAATGGAAAACACAACATTAATCCTTACCTATCAAGCTGGGACCTCCCTCATTGCCCTGATGGATCTCTTGTCCTTGGGGACGCTTTCTGCTGTCGAAAGGAGATTTCTCTGCCGCATGGAAATCAGACTGGATTTCTATAGAGGGGTTTCTCATCTGAGGATCCATGACATGGAGCAAGAATATAGAAAATAAAAGACAAAGATGTCAGAGGATGAGGCCGGGATTTCGCAGATATGCAAGATCACGTTTTAAATTCTTAAGGAAAACATAGGCAATTGGTAGAATTTATGGGATTTCTTCTGTCATTATCTTGACCCTTTGGAGTAGTCATGGACAAGACTCTCTGGGGTGGGAAATCTCTGTCCAAAATGAACCAACCCAACCACTGCATATCCTAAATTGCTGAACCAAAATGTAGTTCCAATGCAAGACGTAAACCTTAATTTCCACAGAAAACTACTAGGCACATGAGGATGGGGGGCACACCTTGTTTTAAAGTGGAAGAGGGACTCCACGACGTAAGGAACGGTGATTCAGTTTCAAAGTATGATGCACACGGACCACGCAGCTCGCTTTCAAGGATCATAAGAGACAGACAGAGGGGCAGCAGGGTATACGGGATGCCTCATCTCAGACACTTGAGTCCCCAGCATGAATTGCTCTCACCTTTTGCTCTTCCTGATTTTTCTCTTCAGCCTGACTCAGACCCAGGAAACCTTCTGCCAGCGACACCGCCTGGGAAGTGGTCTCGGCTCCACATTCTCTCACCCAGCTCGATATCTCCAGGGGGAGGATGGCCAGGAACTGCTCCAAGATGACCAGGTCCAGGATCTGAGCCTTTGTGTGTTGCTCTGGCTTGAGCCACTGACGGCAAAGGTGGTGGAGCCGAGTGCAAACCTCTCGAGGACCATCAGCCTCCTTGTAGGAGAATTTCCTGAATTTCTGGCACTGTGTATCTGAGCTGGGCATCTTCTCATCTAGGACCTTCTCCGCTGCTCTATCAAAGCATGTCCCAAAATCTCCTACCTGGATAACATCTGGGTCTCTTCCTGCTCTGGGGGCAGGGGTGTCCTCATCTGCCATTTTATTTTGTACTCAACAATACTTCCAACACAGTCCTGGAACCCCTCTCCTTCTGTTGGGCAAAGACTACTTAATAGTCCATACTTTGGAAGCTCTGCAAAAGGTAGAAATTAAGACAAGAAATGCAGCTTAACAACAACCAACCACGTCTCATATCCAAAGGAAATATGGAAGAATCTCAAGGATGAGGGGGGAGATAGGCATGTGGGGCTGTTCCTTCCCCTGACAGCCGCAAAATTGACTGTTTTGATATAGGGTATTATTATAATGAGGGTGAAAGAGGAGAGTGCAAAAAACGGCCTGAAACTCAACATCAAAAAAACTAAGATCATGGCCACTGGTCCCATCACCTCCTGGGAAATAGAAGGGGAAGATATGGAGGCAGTGACAGATTTTACTTTCTTGGGCTCCATGATCACTGCAGATGGAGACAGCAGCCACAAAAAAACTAAGATCATGGCCACTGGTCCCATCACCTCCTGGGAAATAGAAGGGGAAGATATGGAGGCAGTGACAGATTTTACTTTCTTGGGCTCCATTATCACTGCAGATGGACAGCAGCCACGAAATTAAAAGACACCTGCTTCTTGGGAGGAAAGCGATGACAAACCTTGACAGCATCTTAAAAAGCAGAGACATCACCTTGCCAACAAAAGTCCGAATAGTCAAAGCTATGGTTTTTCCTGTTGTGATGTATGGAAGTGAGACCTGGACCATAAAGAAAGCAGACCACCGAAGAATTGATGCCTTTGAATTGTGGTGCTGGAGGAGGCTCTTGAGAATCCCCTGGACTGCAAGGAGAACAAACCTATCAATTCTAAAAGAAATCAACCCTGAGTGCTCACTGGAAAGACAGATCCTGAAGCTGAGGCTCCAATACTTTGGCCATCTCATGAGAAGAGAAGACTCCTTGGAAAAGACCTTGATGTTAGGAAAGTGTGACGGCAAGAGGAGAAGGGGACAACCGAGGATGAGATGGCTGGACAGTGTCTGCGAAGCAACCAACATGAATTTGACACAACTCCGGGAGGCAGTAGAAGATAGGAGGGCCTGGCGTGCTCTGGTCCATGGAGTCATGAAGAGTCGGACACAACTAAACGACTAAACAACGATGATTATTATAATATTGCCTATTTTTAATTGTTTTAGTGTCTTCTAAAGTTTTAATATTGTTGTATGCCACTCAGAGACCATTGGTAATGGTGCGGCTAAAAAAAAATCTTATAGATAAATAAAACTTGGGAGTAAATCTGATTTTTAAAAAGAGCTAGGGCCCATTGGAAGGCTCACTTCCATGGCAGTGGTAGCAGCAAAGAAGTCATTCTTCTCTGCCAATATCGCATTTGCACAAAATTGCCCAGTGGAGCTTTTTCAAATTGTTGGAGGCCTGCTACATACTAGCCATCAGGTAGAGTAGACCAGGGGTCATCAACCCCCGGTCCGTGGCCCAGTGCCGGTCCGTGGGCTTGCCGGAACTGGGCCGCGGAGACAAGTCTCCGCCCCCCCGCCTCCCCCTCGGGGGGGGTCGCCCCCCCAGTGCCCATCCCAGGAGAGCAGCAACACTTCCCTGCGGGGAAGTTGCCGTGGGGCAGCCCACCCAGGAAGCACTGACGGCCCGCCACCAGCTTGGTGGCAACTGGCTGATCCTGCTGCTTCCTGCCTGGCCACCTCTTCCCAGAAAGGTGGGCTGGGCTGGGCTCCATCTGTGGAAGAGGTTCCAGGAGGGTGGCTTCCCCTCCTGCTGCCCTGCAGAGCCCTCTTCTGCGGATGAGCAGCAGTGCCCTGTGTGGCCTGGCCCAGCCCACCTTTCCCACCCGGGAAGCAGCAGGGAAGGGGCGCTGCTCTCCTGCGATGTGCGCTGGGGGAATGGGTAGCAGGAGTGGGACACGCCCACCCATGTGCGCGGGGTGCCCCACTCGCCAACCGGTCCGCACATGGTGCTTGCCCCCTCAAATGGTCCGCAGACCGAAAAAGGTTGAGGACCACTGGAGTAGACGATGCAGACCAACACCATTGCTCCCTGTGAAAAATTTGCACAACACTTCGCGGGCAAAAACGCTCAGATCCGCTCTGACGTGGATGCTGTAGCTGTTGCAGCTCCTGTAAGTGCAACTGTGGCCCCTGCTTCCCCTATGTGAGTGGGTGAATTTCAGCTGCTGCAGCCTGATGATGGGGTCACGATCCTTGGAGAAGTGAGGGTTACCACATGCCTGCTGGATCCCTGCCCTTCCTGGCTCATAAAAAGCTGCCAGAAAGGGAATGGTTGATTGGATAGGAGCCGTGGTGAATACCTCCTTGCAACCCGATAAGATCCCATCTTGATTAAAGAAGGCTATAGTAAGACCACGCTTTATAAAGCCTTCCTTGGACCCCACAATAATAAATAATTACCAACCAGTATCTAACATCCCATTCTTGAGGACAGTACTAAAGCGGGTTGTGGCCTCCCAGCTCCAGAGGTGTGAGAATCTAGATCCATTTCAGTTTGGCTTCAGGCCTGGTTATAGGACTCAGATGGCTTTGGTCACCTTGGCAGATGACCTACATCAGGAACTAGATAGGGGATCTGTGTCCCTGTTGGTTTTGCTGGATCTCTTAGGGGCTTTTTGATACTATCAACCACAGTATCTTCCTGTCCCATCTCTCTGGAATGGGTTTTGGGGGCACTCTTTTACAGTGGCTCAAGTCCTTCCTGGAGGAGAGGTGGTTCTGGAGGACTCCTGTTTGAAACCTTTGCTCTGTTTTTGCCTCCTATGCTATTTAAGATCTACATGAAACCACTGGAAGAGATTATCCAGACTTTTGGGGTTCGATGCTATCAAGATGTGGATGACACTCAACTCTGTCTCTCCTTGCCACTTAAATCCGAGGAAGCTACTTCGTCTCAAGATCAGTGTCTAGTACCAGTCATGGACTGGATGAGGGTGAATAAACTGAAACTTAATCTAGACGAGACAGAGGTGCTCCTGGTTAGTCGAAAGGTAGATCAAGGAATAGGGATGGAGCCTGTACTGCATGGGATTATACTCCCATTTTTAAAAAAAATGTGCGCAGCTTGAAGATGCTCTTGGATTTATCCCTGAACTTGGATAACCAGGTCTCAGTGGTGGCTAGAAGTGCACGTGCACAATTAAAAGTAGTGCACCAGCTAAGTCCATTTATTGAGAGATCTGATCTGGCCACTGTGATACATGCCCTAGTTACTTCCCAGCTGGATTACTGTAATGCGCTCTGTGTGGGGCTGCCTTTGGAAAGTGTCAAGAGGTCCAAAATGCAGCAGCCAGATTGCTGACTGGGGCTGGTTACAGGGACCACATAGCCCCCCTGTTACAGCAGCTCCATTGTCTGCCAGTCACTTACTGGGCACAATTTAAAGTGCTGTTTTTAACCTATAGAGCCCTAAATGGCCTGGGTCCAAGCTATCTCAAAGACCATATCTCCCATTATGAGCTGACTCGGGTGTTAAGCTCATCAGGTGATAGCTTTGTCTCAGTCCTGCCACCTTCACAGGTGCATCTGATGGGGACACACAAGAAAGCCTTCTCTGTGGCTGCTCCCAGACTCTGGAACTCCCTCCCACTGGAGGCCAGGCTGGGCCCATCTTTGTTGTCCTTCTGCAAGCAGGCAAAGGCCTTTCTCTTTAGGCATGCCTTCCCTCAGTAACCAGCTGCCTGTGTGTGATTTTTGAATAGATTATGCATTCCTGCTTTGACTGGATTGTTAGGAGAGAGAGAGAGTCCAATAAAAGTATGCTTTTGTATTTACATTCCTTCATTTGTTAACCTTTTCTTATCCTTGCATGTCTGCCTTTTGGAAACTTGTACATCTTAAGAAAAAAAAAATAAGAAAGCTAATCCGTGAAATCAAAAGCAGTTCCTCATGCTTTCATATGAATATCTTTCCACGGGATCTTCCCCCAAACACCTGCAAATCCTTGGTCCTCTTTTTCCTACAAGCCACACCGCAGACATCTTGGATCTTTTGACATATGGCTGTGCAGTGTTGTGGAAAGCCATGGAGGAGGAGGAGGAGGGAGAGGACTCCAAATTGGAGGAGCCAGGAGCTTTTTTTTCCCCTTGGGGAAAGGCCAAGGGGCTCAGGGCTGTCCCTCTAGCTTCTGCTGCCTGAGGCCGTCTCCTCGCTGTTCCTAATACTTCCCGTTATGCATTCCCACAGCAAAGGGCCAGTAACCCCGTAAATAGGAATTTAGCACATCCCTCCCCAGCAAATATAAAGCTCCCCACGTGTTTTGCTCATCAAATTCAACTGCAAACATTTCAAAGGACTCAAAGGGGGGGGGGAATAAGATGGGGAGCCACCGTCTCCCTTCTCCCTCCTCTTCCTTTCTCTCCTGGCTTTCCTGCCCAGAAATGACTCCTGTTTTCTCCCTTTCTCTCTCCCTCCTCCTCCTCCTCCTTCCTCGGTTATCTTTTCCCAGCAAAATCCAGATCAGATAATACTCACTCGCGCACCGTTTGTCTCTTTAAAAAAACAGGCTGAGCCTCTTGTTTCCAAAGCGTCCCATTTAAAGTTGCCTCCCTGTTGCTCAAGGCTGGAGGTCGGGAGAACAAATGCGTCCACTTTTTTTTTCTTAAAAAAATGCAAAACTCATGTTCCCTTTCCTATCACGTGACTGAAGCCGAGCCAGGCTCCTGGCAGGGCGAGAACAGACTCGCTCAATCTCCTCTCGGAGCGCCTGGATGGGAGAGTCTTGGTCTCTCTGCCTCTTTGGATCACTGGATCAGGCAAGAAAAGGCACTTATTGAAAGCATGATCTTCCAGGGAGAGAAGTCATCCAGCAAGCCTCTACAATTTTATGTTTTTTTCTCTCCTGAAATTACTAGACAGCCTTAGATTCCCCCCCCCTCCTCTGGTTCAAGTCAGCTGTCTTTAAGCCTGTAGTTTATATACCGCCCCATATTCCTTAAAGCCCTCTCTGGGCAGTTTACAAGTTAATTATGCAGGCTACACATTGCCCCCCCCACCCCACTCCAGCAAGCTGAGTACTCACTCATTTTACCTACCTGGGAAAGATGGAAGGATGAGTTAACCTTGAGCAGACTACCTGGGACTGAATCCGAGGTGGTGAGCACAGATTTGGCTGCAGTACTACAGATGAATCAGTTTTAAAATAAATTCCACAGTGACTTCAGTGCACTTTACAAAATACAAGAGAATAGGTCTCTGCCCTAATGGGCTGACAGCTCAAATTCGATGAGAGGGACCCAGTGTTCAATCATCAAATTGGGCTCTTTGGCCGTGTTGGGAGATCTCCTGGTGTGCTTTTGGCTGTTTCCGCAGTTGCTGAAATGGCCTCTGATCTGCTTCCAAAACCTGGTTCTAGGGGAGACCTCCAACATGGGTAGTGGGGTTAGGCATGTGGAAGGAGGGATCGGGGACTTTCTCTTGACCGGGGGGCAGGAGCAGCCCTTTGCAGCCCTGACACGAGGTCCAGCTTCCAGTCGCCTCGGATCATGACAGGTGGGCCAAGACAAGACACTTTTCGCTTAAGATGCAAACTCGCAATTTGTTTGTTTGTGTCAATCATTGCATTGAATTTCCATCACATTACCATTCCCAGCCAACACCATTGCCTAGCTTCCTTTTAAGATTCCCAATTTTTGTTTGAATTACACACTGGAGTGACAGATTTTATGACGCCACCTAAAACGTAGACAAAAACAAAATGAAGCCAGCTTTCAGGATGGCTGTGCCTTCACCAGGCAGGAACCGACAAAACCAAACTAAGGAGTATTTTTTTAGGAGCAGATCTCAAAGAGTAAATGCAAGTCTATCCATTTGCTAATTAAACAAAATAAAAATAGATGAGCGGAGACATCCTTTTATATAGAATTTCCCAGACAGACAAATGACACAGTTTTTATCTGCTGAAGGACGTCCTTGTCATCACTTGATGACTGTTATAAAACCAGTTACGCTCATAATTGATGTTGATGCCTTTCCCGTTTCTACACCCCCAAAGACTTTTAAACATCCCTACACATACCTGGTTGATTGGGTCCTGGACTGCTTTTCTTGATTTTTTTACTGGACCAATAAAAATATCACCTACATGTCCATTTAGAAAAAAATATTCCAACCCCTCTATGTCTGCATGTCGGATACATGTGGTGTACAGTATATCATAAGAAAGTGGACCCATGGAATCAAATGCTTCCATATGAATATTTTTATATGGGATCTTCCCCAAACCACCTGCAGATCATAGGTCCTGTCATTCCCACAAACAAAGCCACAAAATCTTGGACCTTTTGGCACATGACTGTGCAGTGGTGGGAAACTATGGAGGACGAGGAAGAAGTAAAGGGCTCCAAACTGGAGGAGCAATTTGAGTGCATTTTTGTTTTTTGAGTGGGCAAATTCCTTTCCTAAGGGGGGAAGGAGTGTAAAATGAATGTTTCTGCTCAGTTCAGGGTGGTGAGATATGCCAGTGTCAGAGCAGTGGTGTGAATTCTGCCAGTGAATTACTACAAATTAAAAGTTCATGCTTTGATCCCTTACTGAATGTTTGGCTGCATAAATGGATGCACAAGAAGGGATACAAGGAGCAACTCGTTAATAGTTGATCACCACCAAAAATTTACACCACAGCAAATAATACAAGCATAACACCAGAAAAGGATTTTGGATGCTAATTCCTTATTCTGATCAATTATTTAACTGTTTCAAGGTCAGATTTCGGGTACTGCAGTAACTACTGTATTCTCTAAGGTTAGTTGTTTTAGAAGCGTTTGCCGTGTTACTGAGTGCTAGCATATCTGACAAAAGAAAAAACAAAGACAGAAATGTATAAATCTTTCCCCTGTATTCCCACTCTTATATCTGAAGTGGATGTGTCCACAAAAGCTCACGTTAAATTATAGCAGTTAGTTTGTAAGATGCCAGCAGGTTTTTATCTTTTATTTTACAATCGCCTTTGCAATGCTGTGCTGCTTATATACCTCCACAGCACCAAAAGGGCTCTCTGGACAGTTTTCAGTTTAATGATGCAGGCTACAGATCGGCCCCCATCTCACACCAGAAAGATGAGTACTCAATTTATCAGCTTCAGAATACTGAGTCAACCTCAAGGCGCCTACCTAGGATGGAACCTGGCTTGTGAGCAGAGTTTTGGCTGCAGTACTGCAATTTAACCACTGTGCCACAAGGCTCCTTTGTGGGTTTAGATTTCTCTGAAGATTGAATAACTTAATTAGAGATGGGATTATCTGTATACAAATACCCCTGCACAGGTGGACAGAATGAGGGTCCAGCCGTATGGGGCCAGACGGTCCACTCACTGATCTGCCGTGGGTGCAGGCACCACGGAGCCTTCCAATGACTCCGGAGATCACGTTCAGTGAGCTACTCTTCAGCTAGCAGAGAGGCTTGTCATCCCGCCTCCTGCCAGGAGTGCCGAGCTGAACACAATCTCCGGAGGCAATGGAAGGCTCCGTGGTGCTCCTGCCTACAGTAGATCGATGAGTGGACTGTCCAACCCCATGGGGCTGGACCCTCGTTATGGGGTTTTCGTATACAAATACCCCCATCTCTAAACTTAATCTATCAAGACACTAATGCCAAAGCGTTCAAAGCAGATGGCATATATTGCTTTTCAGCAATAATTGTTATTTAGCCGTCATGCACCAGGAGAAGAAAAAACATTACTCTGAAGGTGCTGTTACTTACTTTTTGCATCCACTGTAATCCTAATGAACTGAGAGGTGGTGACTGAGGTTAGAGTTTCAGTTATTCTTCTTTTACTTCCTGAACCTGCTGAGAATTCCATTTTATTCTCAGAATCGGGCTGAGCTTTTGACGATCAGAATATCTTGGGCTTCTCAGTGTGAGACGCGAGGCGAGAGTGTAAAGGCTCTCACCGGAGTGTCGTCTTCCCTCAAAACTGGAACAAGAGGCTCAGACAAACCCGTCTGCACCGCCCATCGAGACCAAACAGCGGGGAGTTGATACCCGTGAATTGGAACGGGAACTGTTAAAGATGACAGTAGCCACCTAAATGGGATGGTTTGGCGGGAAAAGGAGAAAGGGGGAGGTCTGTTGTGGAGGCGGGAATGGGAGATATAAAAGAAGAGGTAGACTTCACATCAGGACGTTGGGAAATGATATGGGTAGTGGACCCTTGGACCGAGAAATGAGAGAAGGTACGGGTTCCCTGACAAGAAGCTGATTACCAAAGAAGAAGGGGTCTACCACAACATCCTTCTTATTGAGGGGAGTCTGAGGCCAGAGAGTGGCGCAGGTGGCTCACAGAGGAGAAGGAGGTGGTAGACCGGGAAGAGAGAGAATGCCGGTCATGGCTTCTAGAAGAAGCCCAGTGGAGGGGTACTTAACGGACCGTGGACCCCTCTACGAGGAGATGAAGACCCTTACAGAACGGAGATGTGAGATGAAGAGACCGCCCCGCTACTAAACCCTGAGATAGAGACTTGTGAGTTGGAAAACAGTAATCTGTTTTTGAAAGGACCTTGGGGCGAGTTGAGCTGTAACCCCTTTGTTAAAGTTGTTTGGATGCCCTCACCAGACCTATTGGTGACAAGAGAAACCGCAGAAGCTGAGCTAAAGTTGTTTGGATGCCCTCACCGGACCTATTGGCGACAAGAGAAACCGCAGAAGCCGAGTTCGGGCAAAAAGATGTATTATTACATATTCCAATAAAAACTAGTTATGATTTTTCAACACGAGTGTCTCCAGAGTCTCAGTCAAAATTAGGGGAAGCAAAGTACGAACCCTTACACTCAGCAACACGATTCACCAAAATATTGACATGTTTTTCATTCCAGTATTTTATTCCAGCAGGTACAGAATAGTGCCCTAAAGGCACAAAGCTATACATCTCTTGGAACTTCCCCCCCCCCCCATGTTTCTCTATTAAAAATACATTGTACAAGGCAAGCAGCTGAAATATGAACAATTCAATGCAACTGACGTATTTTTCTGTTTAAAACACACCCCTGTTTATAAGTTTCCCCCCTTTCTAACCCCCAAATTAAGAAACCTTAGCTTTGAGTATTCAGCCTATAGGCTCAGAATGCTGGACATCACGAGTCCCCTGTTGAATCTGTGCCTACAGGCTCCACCTCCAATGAGGTGTGTTCCAATTGGTTTGTACAGAATCAACTGACATCAGTTCTATAAGGCTCCTGATCGGAGGAAGCTAAGTCTCCTGACTGTAGGAAGCTAAACTTCGTGACTGAAGGAAGCCTGTTTACAGGGGCAAGGTATGCACCGTTTTGTTCTTTCCTCAGCTATCTTAGCTTACTTCTGTGTAAAAGACACTCCAAAATTGTTAGTGTAATAATATTAGGAAAAAGTAGTGTCTTATACACGGAAAAATACGGTACACTCTTCCTATTCTTTCTCTTGGCTCACAGAGTTCAGAAGGTGTCTTACAGACTGAATCAAAGGTGAGGCGACTGGGGTTAAGGTGGGGGATGAAGCCTTAGAGATAGGATATCATTTGAGAGGTCTCAACCTGCCCATTGGAATTTGCTGGTGGAAGGGTGCGATCCTGCTCGCCACAAACATGGATACTGTGCCCAGCCTCTTCCCCTCGGACAGAAGAAAATGCAAAATAGCAGACAGTGGAATACCAATGTGGCCATTTTATGCTCTCTACCAGGCCTTCCTCCCAGTTCCTCCATCCTCTCTCTGTAACAATGCCATGGGAAACTCTTAATGTAAAGCAAATCTGCCAAGTTATATGTATGTACAGTAATTTGGTAGATTT